CCATATTTTAATTCCATAGTGAGATGTGCACTGAGTCAGCCCTACCGTAGGACATGTGCCAAAAAAGACAACTAATTTAAATCAGCTAATTCCTTCCAGTCAGTTTCTTCATGTCTTTCTATAAAAAAGAAAAAGAAAAACAGCTGACAAGCTTTTAAAAAGCTTTGACTCAGTTCTTGTTCCCTACTTATCACTCACTACCATGATGTGATTTTTCCCACATGCCAAAAATATGCATACCGCTTTATATTTTGAGTGAGGATATCAACTTACAATTGCCTTTGGGTAAATAAAGGTCTACTTTTAACTGGTTTTGGGGAAAAATCCCATGTTGATTCATGTCCCTAATGTTCAAGTTAGCAAAGCTTGCAAACATGGCTCAGTGTGAGAATGCTTCCTGTAAGGTCAACACTACTTTCTTTATGATATAACTGACATTTTAATTCCCTGTGCCACAAGGAAGTAGGTTTAAACAATAGTGACCTACAGACAAGACAAATCGAGGTTTCCACTGGACTGAACAAGAAGAGCCAGCCACTCGTTCAGAGGCCAAACGCTGAGTGGTTTGCAATGATAGGACACTATCATAGCAGTTAACTGGAGCACATAAGAATTTGACCTTGCTCCCTGTCTACAGTGAGAGAAGTCACACATGCAAATAGATTGCTATGGCACAACACTGCTTGGTTCATTATCTAAGAACAAGAACAGTAAACTAAACAAGTATCAAAGTATAGTACAAAGTACATTACATGGAGCAGTGCCATCAAAGCATTAAACAAAGACATTTTGTTTAATGCTCTACTGCTTTTTAAAATGCCTGACACAGTGATGTCAGAACAGACAACGACATGCCAAAAATAACTCACTTCTTATCAAACAATACTGGCACGCAGACTATACTCTCTGATGGGCATGTTTACCTGCTCGAATGAGAACAAACATGGCTATCACACTTCAGCTGAAGTGTGAATAGATTTACATCCTCTATAAAGAAACACATATGTGTTTTATTGTCCAGACAGGAACAAGTCCAGTTATTCTCTGAGAAAACGTATCGCACAGTGCTCTGTTCAGTTGTTCTGTGGATGCCATTTGGTGATCAGGTCAAGTAGCTCCATCTTCTCCCCGTCATTCACTGTGAGACTATGATGGCTGTGCCTACAGAAACTACAGCAGAGGACGTACATGAGTATTTTAGAAAGTACTGCAGGTACTGGTTGGGAGTTGAACACAAGGCTGAGGCAACTATTCAGAGACAAACTGTGCAGCTACATGGTACTTTTGGCCACAGGGGGCATAGCACATGCTGCTCAGGGGACACAATAAACAAAGTGAAACACATGGAGAGAAAACCGCTGGGTCCTCCTCACCTCAGTACTCCTAGGGTTCACAATATCATCTTTCTCAATATTTATCAGCCTTATCTTCATCACTGGTCAACTCACTGATGAAATAAAAATATAAAAACATGCTTATATGGTAAGTGATGACGTCCATCAAGCCTTTTGTTTTGTGGCAATAACCATTAACCAACATGCAAAGATAAATAAAGTCCTTTTTGGTTTTACTAATTTTACACCCTACTGATTCATTTGGTAGAGGTAACAGCTGCTCTGTATAACAATAAACAAATAAATGAAAACAAGAAATTCAATAATCTTTTTGTATCACATGCACAGAGTAATACTGCAGGCAAATTTAGTGCTTTAATACTTTGAAGTGCCTGAGTTTTAAGGAAAAAACAAGATAATTTGGGCTATTAAGAAAATGAGGTAAGTGATGGAGTAAACTGGTTCAAGTGTGGTGTCCATCTGTAAACACTATGAGGGTTTTTTTATTGCTGCATTAACATTTTTCATCGCTGGGTGTGCTCGTGTGCAACAAACAATACCACATGTATTTGCAACAAATTCATTTCCACTGAACATAGAATTGAAAAAAATCAAATAAAATTAGATTTGACACAAATGCAGATTGATACAAAGTGAAAAAGCTCACAAACTTTGATGGTAGTTGACAACTTGAATTTACAATGTGCAATTCTTATGCTTCTCCTATCCAGAATGATTTACAACAGGCGCAACAGGAGGAGAAGTCATCACTCATCATGTTTATCATCACAAACAGAAAGCAGCAAAAACATAGTTGCAGCTTTGTAAGAGGGACGTACAGAACTGATTAGGAAGAGTGTGTGAGCGTACTGAACCACAAGGCTCCTTGTCCACAGAATGGGTGATTGAGTTCCTAAGAAATCTGGCAGTGATGGTTTGAAAATGGAGCGCCAGGTTTGAAATGAAGGAAGAGGGGGTTTGCTCAGTACGCACCTCCCTGCTGGAGAGGCTAATGCAAACCATCTGCTGTCAAACCAACTTGCTATTCAGCTTCTGGCAGAGAAGGAACCAGTGAGCAATGCTGGTGTCTACTGTCCCAGACAGTTAGGATTTTCTCTTTCTACTACTCTCTATGGGAGCTCACCTCAAAAACACTACAAAGATTACATCTAAATATGTTCTCATTTATTTTGATCAAATCTTTAGAACTGTTCCTGAAACATCCTTACTTGTCTTTTAAAGTTTAGATGTTGTGTTTTATACCTGATCTTCAAAACTGTTCCTGAAACGTCCTTACTTGTCTTCTAAAGTTTAGATGTTGTGTTTTATACCTCAGCACCATTATATTGTAACTCTGTCCTCTGTGGAGAGGTTTTTCTGTTGTCATTCAAGTCATACAGGTTCAATACCAAACTTCAGATGGTAGAATGCTAACAGGTTTCAGTCCTACCTGTTTGAAACAGACAGTGTTTGTGTGTCAACAGAGCAACAGGCTTGAAGAAGTCATGAGTCACAAGATTATTTTAGAAACTCATAACTGGGAGGGAGATTGATTGTCCTGTTAACCTAAACAGGACAAACTTATTTTGTGACAAATATAAATGCATTAAAAAAGCTGCATCGCAGCTGTATTATTATGTTCACCTGCCAAAGTAGGAATTCTACCACAGCAACTTGAGGAGCTGCTAAAGAAACACAATAGTCAAACAATGTCCTCCGTAACTTAGCTCTAGGTGTGTCTGATGCTAGAATGGTATTCAGTCACCAGGAAAAACCTGTCTCTATGTGATGCACAGATGCACAGCACCTGACACATGGCTGCCTCTTCCTCCAAGACCAACCGGTTTTTTAAGAAAGGGCTGCGGCACCTAATGCATCTAACTAATGTGTTTAAATGGCACCACATCTCTGTGGGTTTCACTCAGAATACACAAACAGTGCTCTCTGATTCCCTTTACTACATCCCACTAAAGGTCTGTGACTGTCATGATGAAGACAGAGGAGAGAAGGAGGTAGAAAATGATGGGGTGACTGTTAGTAACTGTGCCATTAATTATAAATATGGGTAAAACACTATCACAAATAAACGAGGGCCAACAAATATTACCCAACAGATTAGCTTGTCACACTTTCTATAATAAAAGCAACAAGCAATCTGTCAAATGAATTTATGGAAAGTGGGACTGAGTGTACTTTTAGATTTGATAGATTTTAAAAAGTGTAAAAAGGTAACTGTAACAGAACTGAGTGTAAAATTGAGAACATGTCTGGGGAACTTTTGCGATGGATCATCGCTGACGATTCATTGTGCCTTTGGCTGTATTACTGCCACCAGCCGAAAGGCAGTAACAGCTGTGTTAAATATTTGGATTATTCTAACTAGGCTATACAAAACAAACAGTGTCATAATGTCCCAGCCAGTGTAAATATCACTCACCATCCTGTCCCTTCAGCCCAGCAGTCACAGCCTTCTCAGTTTGATCCTCTCGATCCAGTCTTTGTGCGAAACCTCAGCGAAGTTTAAACTGTTTCAGAAACTCTAGTTGTTTAACCCTAAAGCCAGATGTCAAATTCCCAGTTTACAGAAGATTTTCCTGACAGCATGGAAACGCTCTTTAGCGGCGTCCGACGAAGGACGCAGCCAGCCCGGAGTCCTACACTGACAGCAGAGCCGCGTCCAAACAACTTGCCGAATGATTATTTACAAAGGGGGCACTGCCTCTAAAGCCTACAGGAAACTTAGCCAGACGGTCCAATGATAGTGTGCTGAACGCGGAATAGGCATAAATATTCATTAGTTACTGGGAGTGAAACGACTGGGCATGCGCAGTTTGGGGACTATACAGACTAAAGTGGGCAAAAAACATTTCGCCCCTCATAAACTCAGTTCACTTAGCCTACTGTCTATTACATCTTAAAATACACCAGGGCAGATTGTCAGTGGTGGCAAACGTACTCAGATCTTTTACTTAACTAAAAGTACCAGCCCAACAGGGTATAAACACTAAATAAGGCCATGTGTTCAAAATTGAAAATACAAAAGCATCAAAATATATTTTATTATAATTAAAATACAATAATCATGCATTACAAAATGATGTGTATTATGTCATTGGATTTTAATAATTACTTTGTGTATCAGTTTAATGTTTCATTTGGTAAAGGAGATATTACCCTTTATCAACTGCTAAGGAAATTCCTCTTGTGGATCAATTGTCTTGTATTGTCCTATCCTATACATATAAATTTATTTGTTGATTACATTTTGTATAATTATGCTGAGTCAGAAAAGCAAAAAAAAAAAAGAACCCTGCAAACAGTAGGCTTTGTACTTACTTTCCACCACTGTACATTGTTAAACCAAACTGTAGAAGCTATGTCATTTAATTGTTTTTTTCTCTTGCTATGTGTTATTGTGTCTTTCTGCAATCATTCATCAGACTTTCAACCAACATTTTTAATAACATTTTGGCCATTTCTTTTATGTGCTTTAAATCTTACGTCCATGTTAATTAAGGCCTTTTAGTTTCAGAGCTGAGGTGAAGTTCATTGGTGGCCAAGAGTAGATGCACTGCAGTGAAACTGATATTCCAGTGCAATATGCAGTATTCAATCTGAGGAAATTTGTGAAACAACAATATAAGAAGGCATTCCCTCTATACATGCTGCATGTGGAATGATCATTTGAACGCTGGGATGATGGATCCCAGTGACTCAGTGACGCATTATCACTGGTATATTTCCAGTTCATGTCCTTTGATTTATAACAGTGTTTATCATCTATTTGATTTTAGACAGACACTGTAGGAAATCTCTGTAGAAGTGCACACTGGTTTCCACTCTTCCAGCCAGACTGAGGCTTGCCTTGAAATAATGTTGGGCAGCTAAAAGACCCACTGGGTGGAACCTGTCTAACAAACTGTCTCTGTATCAGTCACCTCATAGATCTAGTGTGTGAATGTCTATGTGCTATAGTCATATGTAGGTCAGTCACCTCATCGATCTAGTGTGTGTATGTCTATGTGCTATAGTCATATGTAGGCTGTTTTGGAAATCAGACATCTGAGATGAACAATCACAACATATAATACAGATGTAACAGATGTGGCAAGTAACACTAGAAAATAAAGACAGCTGTTATAATGAAAGAATAAAAATAAGGTATGACTCATAGCACTTTGGTGATGGCATACAATCCTTTGTCTCCACCCAGTGGACATTGTAGGAAAAGACAGACACTGAAAAACCTGAACAATATTAGCTAGAACACTAGTGATTCAGATCAGGGCATTTACCCAGAGCATTCTGAAAAATATACACATTTTAAAAAGTCTTCATAATTTTTAAATATAATTTTTATAGTTCACTGTTTACCATCAACATGCTTACTTGCTTTTAGGGTTTGTTTCTTCATAGCCTTTTCTTTTATATTCTTCTTTCATGCATAAAGTACTTAATATAATTCTAGCTTAGTCAGATGATATATACTGTATGTGTAAAGTAATGCTTATGGGACACAATGTTTTTGGTTGCAATTAATTTGTGTGTATGTGTTTGGAAGGCGAAAATATGAATTATCTCATTAAAATGTAACGTAACATCTATGTTAAAAGTATTTTTCAGATTGATTTCAGAGGATATCAATATGCATCAGCAAAAGATCTGACATGTAAAAACGGCCTGGCGGTGGCTGAACAGCCATATGCAAAATGTACTAAAATGCAGTGAGATAGTGTTGACAATCCTAACATTTTTTTCAGGTCAGTCTGTTGCCCTTATGCAATATTAACCTCACATCCTTTCTGAACAGTCATTTCACTCTCCATCTGTCCACCAAGCACCCTCCTCCATGCATCGCTGGCCCTTTCCTGCACACCTGTTCCTAATTACTGCATAAAGCCCCAGCATAAATGCTGTCACATTCTCATCTGAGTGCATTCATGACTGTAAGCCTGCCCTTGATCCTGTGTAAGGACTGTTTTACTGCTGTCAGCCATTATCTTCTAATATTGCTTTTGGGCCAATTTTCTGAATGGGTCACCTTAATATAATGCAGGAAATTTGGTACCTTAAACTCAGTTTCTTGTGATATATGACTTAGCTCGTGAATTACTGAATGAAAATAAATACATTTATTGCCAATTCTTTTGTCATTTTTTCATACTAGATGACTGAAATGTATGAGATTATTGTTGGAACATTAATGAATATAATGCTGAATGTGTGTCAAAACAATCAACTGGTGTCAATGACAAATTCACAGTTGTTCTTGATCACTGTTATAATGGTCAATTTCTATACTGATGGAAGTGGCCTCTTCCAGAGTGACAATATCCTCATCCATAGGGCACAAGGGGTCACTGAATGGTTTGAGTATGAAAATGATGTGAATCATATGCTATATCAGACAGTGCTCTCCATCACTATCATCAAAACACCAAATGAGGGTATATCCTTTGGGAAAATAGTGTTCATCCCTCCAGTAAAGTTTCAGAAACTTGTAAAATCAGTGCCAAGTTACAGCTGTTCTGGTGGCACATGGTGGTCTAAAACCTTACTGAGACACTTATACACTTATATAGTTTTTTCCTTTAATTTGTCAGTATGTGTCTTCCTCAGCCTCAGGTCCTTTAGCACGGGCCTTAGTGTTTGAGGGATTCTGCACATATCTTAGCTGTTAGTACTGCACAGAACACACTGATATTGTTTTTAGGATCTGCTGGAGTCCCTTCCAGCATAGGAGTCACAGCCCCGAGTGCTCCTATCACCAATGAGACCAGTTTGGTTTTCACTTTCCGCATTCTTTCCAGTTCCTCTTTCAGGCCCTGGTACTTCTCTGGTTTTTCATGGCTACTCCTTCTTCCTGATATTGCTGTCTAGGGACTGATGCAGTTATCAACACTGCTGCTTTCTGTTCCTTGTCTACCATCACCATGTACAATTTGATATTGCTTGGTTTTATTTTTGGTTTTGGTATCTTTTATTGTACACCTGTTCCTGCATGTATATAGCCACGGATTGTTATTTTCTCAGATCAAATATTTTTTTCTGGACAATCTGCAAAATGAATGAATAATGTTGTGGAAGCCAATTTGTTATTCCCATACAAGTTAGCATGTTTAAATAAAGTTCCTGCTTAAAAATACGACGTCAAAGGCTCATGGGAATTGTAGTCCATGGGCGGCGTTCTTGAATATTCCCAACAAAATAATCGTTGTTTTATCTTTTAGGTGACGAGGTCATCAGTATTTAACGGGGCGTACAGTTGTAGATATACATGTAGCTTAGAATATGATCGAACAACCTCTGTGTCCCGTTTCAGCTTTTAAGAAAGTTTGATGAAAGCAAGTCTCAATACAAAAATACAGTTTAACAGTTGAGTCCGGAAGCAGGGCGGGATCTCGGCTCTTTATAAACATGGCCGTTAAGTCCTGTACAGCACTAGGTACTGCGTTTGGCTGAAGTACTTAGACGTTGAGAAAGTCACTGAGAGGAACTAACGCAGTAACAGGTGGAAAGAAAATGTAGACATACAACGGGTGTCTCTAAGTTATGGTTATTGTTTTATGTCTGCCCGGAAACGGCATTCATAAACTTTATGTAGTACTTTATGCTAGCAAGCTAAACAAGCTAACACCGACGTCTCTACGTTAACTTCTGTCAACTTTTCCTGCCAGCTAGGTGATCTGCTATTTGTCTGCCTGTCGCAATGGAGAAATGCCGTTCCTCGCCCAGCCTGTCTCGATGAATATTTTACGCACGGACGTCTCGGATTTACTCAGCTAAAGGCTGACCTAAACTTTCTTGGAGGCTTCCTTTTGAATCGTTTTCCCCACTGACAGCATCCAAGCGCTTGTTACGGATTATTACCGAGAGGGCGGACATAAACAATGTTTTCTGGCAAAACCACGAAACCAACCTTCAAGTCTTATCTTCCACCTGTACAGGTATGTATTTGCTTGTGATTGATAACGGCAGAGTTTACTATTCAGATAAGTTCCTGAATTAATTTAGGCAGGAGTTGTCGTGACTAGGGTGTTCCGGAAGGAAAGTTGATATTTGACGTTTGGTCACGAATATAAGAAGAGACGGCCCATAAAAGGCAGTATAGTCTGGAAGCATCCCCGCTCATTTGTTGCTATGTTGGTATAAGTAACTAAACACAAAAAACAAGCTTTAATTTCTAGAGTTTGAAACGGTGCACCGACGCAAAATATGCAGAGGCATTTAATGAGATGCCAGTACGTAGTTAGAAATGGCAACGTTTTAGTGGCCACCCATGTTTATCCTAGAGAATGGAGACCTGTTCGGTGAATCTGACAGCTATAATTTGCCATCCTCTGTGTGGGTACTTTTCCTTGTTTTGGATACAGGTGCATGCACTTCTGCAGCCAGCACATGAAAGGGTTTGCAACCCAACAAAACCATAGTTTGTATGGGCAAGGTCAACACTAGTAATGGCAGGTATTTTGTAATTAGGCAATATCTTTCCATTGGAATTAAACGTATTGAGGTTTAAAACCGGCATCATATTGTCACAAGCATGTCCTGGTCTGGGTAGTCAACTTAGTGATATAGCCTACTATCAGAATTTTGCCTCCAGGGTCTTTACATCCTCTGTCCTTAGACACTTTAATAGTCACTTAAAGTAGAAAATACTGTGCTAATTTTATGTTAATTACTTATAATATTCTCCTGTAAGTAATTTTAAGGTGGAATTAAATTCACACCAGTTGTTATTACACATTTAGGAGAGAATATCATTGATGTATTTTAGGCAGATGAGCAGGGGAGTTAACTGTGGACAAGATGTTTTCTGACCCTTGACACTGTTCAGTGGCATTCTTTCATTCAGTTATGGACTTTACACTTTTGTGATGAGATGGGCTGTTGTATCCTGGGAACCTATAGTGCTGTGCTTGTGTAAGAAAATATATTCTGACCATTTAATCATTGCAGTTTTTACACTTATCACTTTTAATTTTGAGTTGAGGATATATACATCTGGATATGTTCACTTGAAATCAGCTTGCTGGAGTGAAGCCCAGGATGAAAAACACAATTGTCCAGACATGTTTGAACACTCATTGTATCTGTTAATGTGAGCATTATTTGGTTAGATTGTGTTTCCTCTAGTTTTGTAAACAGAGCTTGCACCAGAGGTACTGTCACATACTGCATGTTGTAACTGTTAATGCAACATTAATTCACCAAAACAAATCGACACAGCTGTCAGGGTGTTCATCATGGTTTTAGAATGGCCAGAGTGGAGTCTTTGGGGGATTCTTGGGAATTTGAAAGCACTGTTACAAAGTCTCTTCTTAATTTTGTCAATTCTGCACTTAGAAATTATTTATATTTAATGATTTGTTTACAACTTACGGGCATATTTGAGTGGTAATTTTCTAACCCCTCTATGTTGTGATAACATATTGCCTTTACCATTTGACAAGCCAGTGATTTATTACCTCTTTCTTGTGTTTGTTATTAGACTGAAGTGAAGAAAACTATTGATCCACCTATTAAAAAGTTGGACCCTAAGTTACTTCCAGGTAAGTTTATTTTTTGCATTATCCCAAGACCCATGTCTCTCACACACACACACACACACACACACACACACACACACACACACACACACACACACTAGACTAGAACTGCATGGTTTGTTCAAAGCAGATTAGATATTCTTGGCATTATTGACATTATGCTAATAGCCAGACAAAAGACTGTATATAACCTTTACACAATACGGGATGTAATGTATCTATCCCTTGTGTCATTAATTAAATAACTGAAGTAAAGAGCGTCCCTAGCTTCTTTACAGACATTTTAATCAATAAACATAGCATCCACATCAATAACAGAGTCAAAATAAAAATGACAATTAGGTCCGATTAGCAGGCTACTTTGTGTTGTTACTCATGTTGCTGATTTGTCGTTTAATCTTGAATGCCAAAATAGTTTATTTATGTATTTTTTTATGTAAACTGCTGCAGAAAGGTGTCTTCGCAGCTAGTTGTAAATTAATGGTTATTTCACCACAATGGGGTGAGGCTAACACCTAAAGTAGTCGGCCCAGTTTAGATATCTGGGATGACTGTGAGGAAATGAAATTGTCATCCTCACTGATGGACTGTGAGAGTTTAATTTAAACTTTCTAATATAGAGAACCAGGTATGTTACTTGTCAGCGTTGCATTTTCCTAGACTATTGTGTTGTCTCAGAGTCTCTAGATTTGGCTGTGGATGAATTTCATTTTGTGGGCTTACATAATGTATCATCCTGTTTTTGCTTTACATAGCTGGCAGTGTTGAATCAGCCTGGTCTAACAAGCATTTCAGCTCAGGCAAACATATCATTCTGTCTCAGCCTGAGAAAATACAAATAGTCGCATATCTTATTGATAGTAACATTAATTATTGCCTTAAATGTCAGCTAAAAATAGAGATTTGATTTCACCAATTCATGATTTTTGTATATCAGTAAATCAGAAGATCAGTAGGAGCTTGTTGTCCAAAAGATACAAAAACATTTAGATGTGTCAGAATCATCTTTGTTGTTAAGAATAAAATGGGTAAAACGGCACAATTGCTGTTGTGCAGGGACACTGTTTGTTTAGATAAGTAATGAAGTAATGTAGGTCTTAGTAGGCCACAAATATCAACAAACACAATATGTCTAAGCTGACAAAAGACAAACAGTCATGTTATTTCATGTCTTTATTCAACACACCTGTTAAACATACAGAGTGATGGTGGAAAAAGTAATGGCAACAGTGTTTTCAATAACTGGTTGAACCACCACTGGTAGCAATAATCTCAAGCGAGTGCTGCCTGTAGCTGTGGACTGAACCTGCACAACTACAGGCAGGATTTTTGGACCATTCTTCCTGACAGAACTGCCTCAGCTCAGCCAGAATCTTAGGACGTCTGGTGTGGACAACTCTCTATTTAGGTCATTACACAGGGTTTTCATGTTGGTACACGGTTCTCTTTTTACGCCATACATAGCACTGTGTTTTCTTCCTAAAAAAATTCTACCCTCATTTAATCTGTCCACAAGATATTTTCCCAGTAGTATTGTGGAGTGTCAAGGTGGTCTTTGGCAAACTTCAGGTGTGCTGCAATGTGGTTTTTGGAGAGATATGGCTTTTTCTGTGGTGTCATGCCATGGGTACCATACCTGTTCAGAATTTTGCGTATTTAGTTGTTACTCTATGTTTCTTAGTTACCTCACTGAGCATTCTGAGTTGTGCCTTTGGAGTGATCTTGGCTGGGCTGCCACTTCTATGGAGAGTAACCACAGTACCAAATTGTCTCCATTTATAGACAGTGTGTCCAACTGTGGAATGATGAATGGTTAAAGTCTTTGAGATGACTGTAACCGTTTCCAGCTACATGCAAATCAATAACTTTTGATCGAAAGTCTTCTGAGATCTGTTTTTTGTGAGGCATGGTTCACATCAGCTGATGCTGTTGATGAATAGCACACTAACACAGTTTTGAGTGTTTTTATAAGTCAAGGTAGATCTAAACCACACCTCCATTCTTGTTTCATTGATTGGACTCCAAGTTTGCCACCATCACTTTGTGTTGTATCAGATTAGAAGTATTCTTGATATTTGTGACTTTGGTGAAGATCAGATCACATTTCATGACCAATTTATGCAAAAAAAAAACAAAAAAAAAACCAGGAAATTGCAAACAGTGCCATTACTTTTTGTTGTGTGTGTGTGTGTGTGTGTGTGTGTGTGTGTGTGTTTACACACACACGCACACACACACACACAGTTTATGTTTCGTAGTCCATGGGGACTTTACATTGACTTACATTCATTTCCTGTAGACTAACCCTAACCTTAACCAGAACCACTACTTGCCTAACCCTGACCCTAACCTTAACCTAACCCAACCCAACCCTAACCTCATCCTAACTCTAAACCATGTCCCCACCGTGAAATGGGTCCTCATGAGTTGGTATGGAGTTAGGAAGAAGTCCCCACGTAGCAGGAAAAACACATCCACACACACAATATTAAATACTCCTTATGAAATGTACGAATTGATGCATATTTTAATATTATGATGCCAAAGTCATAATTACAGTTAGTTCATTAACTGGAGCAGCAAGAAGGCCTTGTAATTATTTATTTTGTGTTGAGGTTTGAGTCATTGACTTGGAAAGTTAATGGGAGTGGCTTTACACAGACTTTGCATAAGTGTTGTGTGGTATGTTATTTGTAGGAACACCACAGATGTCCTATTTGAAAGAAGTTGTTAGTTTTACACTTTTTTTAATGTTTCTTTTGACCCGGGCTTAGAAAGTTCTTCATTTGCAGACATGTTGTATATAAGTGAAGTGTGTTTCATTTAGGTCATGTTCAACATGACAGTTTTACTTGGTTACCTGTTAAATGGCTGATTTTACAAACACCCTCCATCTCTGGGCTGCATTTACTACTAGCAGGTTGTCACTTCCTATGCCATTCTCATTTCAGAACTGGTCAGATAAACAGTTTTCATTACCAGCTTACTTGTTTTTAATATACTGCACATTTGCTGCATGCTGCTCTGAAGTGGCTGTCTGCAGGACTACACCCTGCTGTCCCAGTTCTCATCCTTTAAAAATCTCTGGGACAGCTTTTTATAGCTGCATTCTTGTCTGTGGATTAATTGTTTTGTGATCATGGTGAGCAGTAAGGGGCGTGCTACTTATAAAAAAAGACATTATGATAAAGCTGCCTAGTCAGATAAGCTGCCTCGTGAGACTAAAGCTGAAGGAAAATCTTTAATATGACTTTCATGTGGTCGAACTGACTGCCTTGTCATCACAAACTTTGGATATGTGTGGTTCCTGTTGGCTGCCCTACAGAAACTTTAAGTCGCTTTGTTTTTTTTTAATATTATTTAGCTTTTGGTTTTAGCCTATCACAGCCATGCTACTCTTACAGAAAAGATTTCAGCACAGTGTCTGCTGTATTTTTGAAGAATCTTAAAATGTATCACTGAAATGTTGTTTTGCACTGTGTAATTGTTTTTTCTGCTAGCCTTAAAAATAGCAACATTAACCAATGTTGTTTTGGAAGCTTGTGAAATGCTGCTGTCATTTATTTCCCTGCCCACTTATATGAAATGGAAATGTTAATGAAACAATGCAAAGGTTCACAGGTCCAGTCTCTGTTGGACTGACTGATTATAACTAGTTTTGATGTCAATTTAAAGGATGTTTTTTTTTCAGGTAAAGGCAGCTTTTTAACAGTATTTTATTGCTGTATTTTGCAAACCATTGCCCTTCAACAGCGTCATCAAGACAAATTTGTTCAAGTGTAAATGACCACTTCTCATGAATGTAAGTGCACAGAGTAGTAACAGGGAAGTTAGTCAAAAATGACTGCATGAAGGTGCTGTAACTGTCACCTCATTTGTCTAATTATCCTGGAGCATGCATGGAGATAAAAGTGCCATCTCTAAAATGATACTGTTTGATCATGAGCATGTTGGTTATAATCCAATAAGCAAAACCTGGGTCTTGGCTTGGTTTTATTGCAGGCATTAAATAAAACATTTGTTTACCATCACTTGAGTTTTTTTTTATTTTTTTTTATTTCTTTTCTGGAAGATGGTCATTTTCTTTACTTTGCTTTCTAAACTTAAATGTCTGTAAGTGTCCCTGAAATGTTGTATTTAACTGTATGTTTTACACACCTTTTTTCCCCATTTGTTTGTCACCAGGGGAGATAGTAGTTAATGAAGCAAACTTTGTAAGGAAATGCATCAGTACTAAAAACAGCCAGGATGACCTTTGGGGGAGGTTGATTTGCACCAACTTTAAGGTTTCCTTCATCCCTCAGGATGTCCCAATTAAACAGGTAAATGTGTGGACTGAGGCTTTAAAGCAAACAAGTTGTATTGTTGTGCCTACTGCTGGGAATGACTCTATGTTTAAAATGTATTATGTTGTTCTAGTACTTTTGTTTTGATGGCCTGTCATTATGGTGTGGTGTGTTGTGGTGTGAAAACCACATTTTTAAACTTCCTCACAGTTCTTAACAGTGTTGAGGTTTTATCTGGCTTGATATGAAGGATGGGCACAATTTTAGCTTTATATTTGTGAAATGCATTACTATCATCAACATTCTATTGAATAGCTAGAAGACTTGTATTTCCACTGCCATGTTTATATGTGCAGTGCATCTGGAAAGGAGGAAGGAAAATGTGTGTACTTTCCTGCATTACATTGTCACTGGCATCGCACAAGAAGTGAAAGAACAGACGTCATTTCCGGTTATGCTGCAGACTGTTGTTGCAAATAAAAAAATATGGGCCTTGTTCATTGCTCAATCTGACTGAGTCGGTTCAATCTACCAACCAGAATTTGAACTGATATTTAAGTATGGGTGTAATAGAATTGCCAACAGATGCCAACCACACATTTTGTTGTCTGTCTTTACCACAGAAGCCCCAGTTGTCCCACCTGTTGCTTGGACAGCATGACATCCCATTGACCTGTCTGGAGCAAGTAGTTACAGGTACCTGTGGTGCCAGCATTGGTACTAGCAACTGTGAGAACTTGCTATATTTCACAGATTGCTACTGTGATGACAGAGTTTAGATGTAGATGTCCTGTTACCAGAATCCAGATGTTTTATCTGTTCTGATCAATAACCAAAGAACTCCAAACAGTATATTTCCTAAAGAGATGAAACGTATTAAAGCCAGCTAGCTAACATTAGCATTTTTGAGCAGATGTTTAAACTTTTGTTCAGTCATGATTGATCGAGCGGCTCCTACAACACTCATGTCCAGTATCCTAACACGGCCGTGTTGCATTTACAGTAGAGTTCAAGTGAGGTGTCCTCTCCTCATTAATCCTTGACAGCTTGGGTGGCTGATCTCGTTTGTTGTTTGTTCCTGGTCAGCAGTCTGATAACAAGTGATGTAACAGCTCAGACAGTGATCAGTGGCAGCGCAGCCTGGCAGGGATCAGCCTTGTTTATACATCTCATTGCTGTCCATCGCTCACAGTTCAAGGGCAACTGACCAGAGCAAGGTTTGTTGTGCTACAGTGATGAGGCATGAGGCTTAGTTTTACCCAGCTTTTCTTTGACCTGTTTGAACTAGACCACAAACGCCAGCATTGTCATTATGAGATTTGCACAAATCTAGAGCATGAAGAATGAAGTCAGATCCTATCTATTCTCTCTGTGCTCTGTCTTCATGATGCATGAAGATAGAGCATTAAACATTTTATTGATTCTTGTTTCTTTTTATGTGCTATACAGTTTTTTTTTTTTTTTTATAATTCTGAAAACTGACAAATTATTGTTGCAGTAGTCTAGTGGATATACACTCCCACAGTTCTAAAGCACACTGTGTGTGAATTACAGACAATACTTTTTTTATTCTAAAAATAACACAGAAGAGAGAGTTATTCAGCCTTGGCCTACATCTGCATTGAGTGCTTTGTTGTTGACATCAATAACTGTACTATGTGGAATCTTTAAAATTCAGTCTTGCATCTCTAAGCACTGACATCTACATGTTGAACTGTCGAGTCATATTTTCTGCTTGTTCCTCTCAGTGAACGATACAAAGGGAAAAAAGAAAGTATTGGGGTCAAACCAGAAGCTAAAGTTCAACCCCACTGAGCTCATCCTGTACTGCAAAGACTTGCGCATCATAAGGTTCTGCTTTGATGAGGCTGGGCCTGAGAGTGCCAAAAAGGTAAGTGATACAGAAACATTTCCCGGCTTGTTCTTAAATCCACTTCAGTTACCTGATGGCTATTTAAAAGACTTGGCAAATGTCTTCTTAAAGTGGATACAGTGCTAGATAGGAGTTCTAAATAACTATCGGAATTGAATCGGCTCTATTCTGGCTGATATGATCTTGTGAAATATCTCTGGATCAGTGCCAATACCAAGTATTGGTATCGGATTGGGACATCTCTACTTATTACACAACTTAAATTATAGTATTAACTTTCAGATAGTACCTCAAAGTGACCATGCCTTTTTCTCAGTTCACTGTTTGTTGCTGACCAAAATTTTCCTTTCCTGACTGTGTGAGCTCACTAAATACTTACACTCAGGTTCAGTGCTATGAGCAATTCCTCAGTGACAAGGATATTTACTCCATACACACTTTGATGTGCTACTCTCTTACCCTCTACCTGAATAGTAATGATTAACTTCTCTAACAGCATTTTCAGTTTGGCCCTTAGCCAAACAGTAAGTCAGAAAGAACAATGCTCATTCAAGGTAGAGGAAACCAAGAATGATGCTGATTGTAGGAAAAACTGACAGCGTGACTCTGAGTCATCTCCTGGAGGGACAGATGTTTCATTCTTCAAATGGGAGCTCGGTTTAGTAGTGTCCATGTGGGGCATGTGATGAGATAAATTATATTAAAATGATGTGCTTTTAATTAAGGTTCAAGGATGGTGACTAAGGATTCTATACTGTTATATATTATAAAATGCTTTGATACTTTAAAGAGGTTGACATTTTGAAGTTGGTGCTTTTAGAAAATAGTTTTACACTAGGGAAACTGAAATAAATCATTGCGTTCAAATCAGCTAAAAGATTTTGCTTGGCTTACTGGCACAGAACTTGGGGCCCACTCACCTGTAATGTAGCCAGAGAAACACACATTTCATTGGTTACATTAGTCAGTAGTGTAATAAGCTGTTGAGTGAGTGTAGTGAGTTGTGGTAAGTAACAGTAAGCTTGGACTGGATTTATTAAGATTCTCAGGCCTTTTAATCTAATTTTGGAAAATGTTGGTAAACAAATAAGCAAACCAGGAAGCTGTCAGCTGGGACACAACCAGCCCACCACTGGGAACATGTGATTGCTTTGATTGGTACTGTATAATTACCCACCTGAGAACGTAGGCAGCAGTAACAAAATAACCATACAGGCTTCTCGCACTCTCTAAGCAGGGATGTTGTGTGTATAAATGTTGGAATTTGAGGTTGACAAAACACTGAAAGTAAATTTCATATTTGTGACTTTTCGGGGAGTGTAATATATCTTTACAGTGCGTCAGTGAAACGTAGATGAATGTGAATGTACATGGTTACATGTCTGCTCTCCTCATGCCATCTGGGAGCAATTTTTGTGTAGGTTACATGTAACAAGTCTCTGTTTATGGTTATTTTATATTAAAAATGCAATATTTAACTCTTTAGTTTGTGTGCTCTACCTCATACAAGAGAATATGGAAGGCTGATTATGTATAGAGCACTAAAATAGCAATGTGTCTGGCCTCCCTCTGCTCCTTGTGAGTTTATATATAGGACACTGTATGTAATTACAGCGTGAACCTAAAACGGGGCTCAGTTCTTTTTTTTCCCCCCCCTTTGTGACTTATGGCGTTAAGCCAGCCTATAAACGCTTATTTTGCCATGGGAAATTAGAGAGTTGGGAACAGCCGTGTCTATACACACACACACACACATTTTTTTATTTTTTTTGTTCTAGGTTTGCCTTGCTATTGCCCACTATTCCCACCCAGCTGATCTCCAGCTACTGTTTGGTTTTGAGTATCAAGGACGGCAGTACCATGAGTCTAAAGGTATTCATACTGTAGCATTCATTTCTGCCTCCCTACAAAATTATTATTTTTTTACTTTTAATTTTCTGTGAACCCAGATTCAACAATTATAAATCTGACTCCCCATGTTTAATATTGCTGCATAATGAAATAAATCTCAAAGTGTGCTGTACTTTCAGGGAAGCGAGTCAATGGCTCCATCCCTCGTGGAAGATTACAAACTGCTATTTTTGACCTTCCGTCTGACTGGGATCGGGAGATCAAAAGAACGGGTGCTTCAGAGTGGAGAGTGTGCTCCATCAACAAGGGTTATGCCATTTCACCAAGGTTTTCATGGGGTTTTTTGGTGGTGTTTTTTATTTATTTATTTATTTATATATGATCGGTGTTGTAGGCAAGCCATGGCTGTAGCTCCTACAGTTTGCCATAGTTCTTAGGAATGGTCTAAATTTCACCCCTTATTCATACTTGAGTAAGGGGCTGCCATCTTGCCATGTTTCTGCTTTAGGGTGCCACTTTCTTACTTTAAGATTGTGGGAAAAGAAAAATATAATTGCTTAATGTATTTTTGTTATGTTTTTAAAATATATTTGTGTGTTTTGATTCCTGTGTAACACCAGTCTTTCTCTAAACTCCTTCTCTTAGTCTTCCAGAGTACATTGTTGTCCCAGTTTCTCTGGCGGATCAAGATCTGAAGCAGTACTCTGTGTTCTTCACTGATAACCGAATCCCTGTGAGCATCTAAGCTGTGATATTTCTATTAAATGTTTGCTGTTTGTCAAAATTTGCTTAGGCTTAAATCTCATTTGTCGCTTTCAGTTAGTTATGATTAGACTTTACTGGCAAATCTAAGGACCATCAGTGGAGTAATTTGTAATTATTTGATGATTGCAAGTAGCGATCGTATCCAATTTATTTGCATTCTTCTTTGTAGCTCTGGTGCTGGAATCACACCAATGGAAGTGCTCTTGCCCGCATGGCCTGCATAGCTGATCCCTTACAACAGAAGAAGATTGAGCATAAGTACTGTGAACCTCTTCTTTGAATCAGAACAGGAATTGGTGTTTAGTTTCTCTTTCCCATTAAAATTCAATATTTGTCAGCAGATGATATTGAGATTTGTCATCATTTGATACAAATCTAGACATCTATGTGTAGCCCCCCCCTTTTTTTCATAAAAAAACATAAAAGTTATAAGATAGTCATCATCTGTCTTGTGTTGTATTAGGCTCTTCAGTGCCATCACAAAAAGCCATCCACAGTGCAGTGAAGTCTTCAGGTCAGATCTGGACAAGTGTCTGCCTAACATCCAGGACATCCAGAGTGCTTTCCTAAAAATCAGGCAGATCTGCATCATCGGTGAGTGCCTTTATGTTTAACAGTAGATAACTAAGTACTTCAATGCATGTATTCAACCTCTGTGTGGACTGTTATTCAATGCAGATTTCTTCAGTGGAAAAGGATTAAATTGTATGACATTGCTGCATACAGCTTTATACCTCTGCATGTATTTGACTGTTGTTTGTGTACAGATCCATTTGAGGAATCTGAGGAGAGGTGGCTTTCATCCATTGAAAACTCACGTTGGCTGGAATACGTCAGGTATGTGAACAACATAACACTGTGTAATGTTCTGTTGTAGTAGTGTCTAAAGAGACCAAATAAAATGTTTGTGTTACCCTCAAGCATGTAACATACCTGCGTAAATGTTTTGGAGTAAGTTGTATAAGACATAGATATATTTACATATCCTATATGAGGTCTCTGCCAAGGAAGTAATCATTTTTGCCAGCATTTCAAATGCTAGGGGTAGGTTTTCCTGGTCAGGAAATCATATTATGAGGGTTGCACTATCATGGCAATAATGATTTTAGGTGGAATGGCATTTTTGGGAAACTGAGCTACCTTGGAGGAGGTTTGTGCTGTCTGAGTACTAATTTAGTTAATATTTTTCAGTACAGGTACATTGTAAATCCTTCATATTTTATGTATAAATGTACACACGAGTTAATTCTTGTTTTGGCAAGATTACTCTTTAGTTTGGCAACAATCTGATCTTTTCATTTGAGCAGCAATTGTCTACTGTCATCTGCTTGCCTGGCCAATAATTAGTCCACAAACTCAAAAAGGACTTTGAAAATAAAGTTTATATCTGCATGAAGTTATGAGTGTTCAGCTGGCTACTTACAAAGTAATGTATTGCTCCAACATTTTTAAAGTCAGTTAACATATTCTGCTTATGACCCAAGGGCCTTTTTGAAACACTCAGCTGAGATAGTGTACCACCTGGAGGGAAAGAACGCTTCAGTCATTCTCCAAGGTAAAACTCTGTTGTTTAATCATTTTACCCCCAAAGTATGTATAGGACATTTCAAACCAGGCAGTCACAGAGCAATAGCATTCTGCAATTTTAACACTTGCATGGTGAACCATTGTTTGTAATATTAGAGCAATGTTGTGCTTCAGCTAAATATTATGCATCAGCCAAAATGCATCTAAAATATTGTGGTCAGATTAGAATTGTTAATTTATTATTTCTTTTGTTCAGGCCGACTGGATTTGAAAATGCTATATTTGCAAACAGTTTTTTTGGGTCTCTTTCTACACTTGTATAGAGAGAGAAGACAGAGACCTGAACTGTGTAGTGTCCTCACTGGTGCAGCTCATGTTGGACCCTCACTATCGCAGCCTCACAGGCTTTCAGAGTTTGGTGCAGAAGGAGTGGGTGATGGCTGGCCATCGCTTCTTAGACAGATGCAACCATTTAAAGAAGAATGACAGCGAGGAGGTATATGTCTAATTTATATGAATCCAGTCATAGGATTAGATTGGACTTGCTGAGACACTCATGCTTCTTATGGTTTGTTTCTCTCTGTTCTCTCGGTCAAGTCTCCACTCTTCATGCTGTTCCTGGACTGTGTGTGGCAGATAATGAACCAGTACCCAGCAGCTTTTGAGTTCACAGAGGCCTATCTGTCAGTACTGAGTGATAGCATGTGGATCCCACTCTTTAGTACTTTCCTTTTCAACTGTCCCAAACAGCGTGCCCAACTCTTGATGGTGAGGGATGTGTCCTTATCTTGATTATCTGTTTAGTTGCATTTAATAAATAGTTATACATGAAAATTCTAGAGTTAGCAATGCAGTGCAATTGTGAATATATGTCTAATTCAGTTAAATGAGAGCAAAATTTTGTAAAGATGGTAGTTGATGGAAACAAAAACATAACTGAGTTGTTTTGTATAATGTTCGGTATGAAATAGGCTTTTCAGAATCTGTTCCTCCAAAAAAGTCCATCTGTGTCAGTGGTCCAGGAAGAGTAAAAAAAAAAATGTTTAGAATTCCATTTGATGTAACAAAACAGCATGTTTTTGTGCTATCAACATAGTTTCCTTCTGCGTGTCATATAATGGACAATAAAGAGTAATTGCACACACAATGGCATTTAGATTGTAGGTAACCAAGAAGTTTTTTTTTCATGGTGTACAACAATGATTTTTGTCTGATACTATGTACAGAGCAGAATAACTTTGCCTTTATTTTGCAGGACTTTGCCAAGAATAAAGCCATCCCACAAGGAGAAGACCAGACTGTGTTTTTCCCCCCTGTCTGGGACTGGTCACAGCAGTTCTCCACAAAAGACATAACCCTCTTTAACAACCCTATGTACATAGGCAAAGGAGCTGCCTGTGTTCAGAATGGGGAAGTGAAAACCTTCAGACGCTCAAAGGTAAATAATGATGTGTAGCTGTTTTTCATATAAGTCAGCGTAGTTCTCTGATTTTTGCAAGTACCTCACATTGGTAGACATTACTGTTTTTGTATGCATTTTTCTGAAACATTTTTAATTTCTCACGGAGTAAATATTCAACATCCGGTCAGCAGTTTTGTTTATTGTTGGTTTGACTTTATAGTCAGCCTTTTCAGAAAAATACACAGAAGAATTATTATCCAAAAATAAGTTGGTTTCTCAGTATTATGAGGGCTTGATAATTTATTGTAGGTGAGAACCTGTTGCAGCCTGTCACACAGGTTGTCATGTTTAGTGGGGGGGAAAAAACCTCCAATGCTTTGTCCATCCTCCAACAGAAAAGCTACAGTCTCATGTCACGAGGACCATCTCTGCGTAATGGACTGAAGGATGGAGAGGATCCACAGACCCGTCGGGGCTCGATGGTGTCAGAGCTGAAGCCTGATTTCTCACCAGTGAAAGATGAAAGCCCATCAGAGCTCTTCTTCAGGGACTGGTTCACTCGACCTGCTGACCAGCAGGGCCTCCTGATTCCCCTGCTCATGCCCTCACACATGGCTCTCTGGAAGCTCTTCTTTCTGCGCTGGGTTCCTGAAGCCTGCATTCCCAAAGGAGGCTCCATCACCGCCTACCGCAAGCTCTCCCAGCTGGTCGATGAAATTGATATACTGCAGAGCCAGATCAGGCAGTATAAGGGACCAAGTTCAGGCAGCTCACCGCTTCCCAGCCCAAGTGGTCCCGCTTCAGACCAAAGGAGGATGTATTTTAAGGCCAGTTCCCCATGTAACCCCCCTACACCTCCAGACTTCCTTACCTCCTCTTTTCCTTTCACCCCAATGGGAAACCTGTGTCGCCGCAGTCTCCATGGGACTCCCATTAGCAAATTTATGAATGGGGCGAAGATCTGGCTCTCTACGGAGACTCTTGCTAATGACACTCTGTGAGGATGTGGGGCTATAGGGCTTATTTTTATGAGCCTAATACAGAGTTAACAGCCAATTATCTTATTTTCTATTACCTCTTTCTTAAATAACAAGAAAGAAAATGAGAAATAGAAAAACATAACTTTGGACTTCTGATTTTAATTATTTATAAGCTAAAATTTGCACCACTGTTGCTGCAGTGAAGTCTGAGTGTCATCTATAGGACTGAATCATTGTCCATTACAGTTGAGGAATTCAGATTCACTGAAGTACATCGTCCTTATTGGCCAGTGAGTTATTACTGTGAGTCTCATCTGACTGTGAAACGTGGTCATTTTTATGACAGATTTATTTTCTTGTCTACTTAAGCTTAGGTCTTTCTCAAGATTTAGCTTCGCTACATGCTCTGTTATTTACTGAGCTTACTGTATGACCCGAGATTTTAATACTGAGCTGAGATGAGGTTCAGAGCTCCCTTTCCAAGATTTTTCTGTGCTTCATAGAATGTTTTAAAACAATAAAAAAAATAAAACTATTTAAGTATGTGTGTAACACTGCCATCAGCCAAGTTCTTTCTTTTGAATTCTCAATGGTCAGTAAGATTTCTCCACTGTAATGGAATAATGATACTTGAAATTAGAACGTGCTCATTTTACTGCAGCAGCAATGATGCATTTCACTGAACACCGACTCTGTTTAGTAGTGCTTTCCAAGAAATCTGATTGATTGAAGATGTAATATTTTACCTGGTATTTTCATTTCAGAAAGAGGAACAGAAAATAACACTGCTAACATGTTTTTTTGCTATATGGTAAAAGAGGATTTGGCCTGGTTGAATGTAATTTTTTTTTTATGCACAGACTAAATGCTATTCTTTCCAGGTGCCCATATTTTAATGGTTGGTTTGAGGTTTCACTGTCAGTGTGATTTCAGGGTCTTATTTTGTAGATTTACTCTATTTTCCAAGCAGAGATAAGGGCCTATACTTTTTAGTATCACACTGAGGGGAAGGTGGAGGTGTGGGAACTTCAATCTGTGGTAGGTATTTCTGCTTCTCTTTTGAAGGGGTTTTATAAAATGTTTATAGAGGCCTTCTGGTAAGGCACCAAGGAAAAACTGTACAGATTAAAAGTTGCTTAATGGGTAAATATTTGAAAGCAAAGGGATATACAAGAGCTTTGACACAAACCAGTCCCTAGTTTAGTCTGTAGTGAATATTAGATTTCAGGAACAGAAGTTATAGATCATTGACTGTATATAAATATGGACCGCGCATCACCACTTCTCTCGGCTATGCAAAAGAGAAGCCAAAATTCTGTGAATCCACTGCCATCTTGACATTTTGCAACCAAATTTTTGCACAAGTGACAGTAATTGAGTGATGTATCAAACTGCTAATCAGAGCAGCCAAATCATCTGAAATACGCCCATTTTTATATCAACATATTAAAAACAAACTTGCCAGAAACATGACTTCTGCACACATCAGTGTGATAATATCTACCAGACTTGACAGAACTCATCTCTAGGAAAAATGTATTTGATTTCTACTTTGAGTTTTTAGTTTGGCTTGTGTCCCGTCCACTAACAGGGAGGGGACGGGATGTATGACTTGTACTGCAACCAGCCACCAGGGGGCAGTCGACTTGTGGTGGCTTCACTTCTTGGAGCTGTCAGACTGTTTTATAGAGTTAATTGTACAGATCCAGTGAACACGATCATGATGGGTAGATGGCACTTTCAAGGCAGCATGAAATCATATGGATGTCAAGTGTCATAAGTACACCATATGTGTAATTTTCACAGTAAGGTCAGATGTCTGCAAAGTGATGGTAGAGAGTGAGAATCACTGAAAGAATTAAATTATACACTGTTAAACATAGATCATATAACAATTTTTGTAATGCTTTTCTTTCTTGATAACCCTACCCTGCACACACACACACACACAC